TTCCTAAGTAAATTTTCCCTTTGATACCAGTGCAATAACAGGTCACGTGTGTAACGATTCTGATAAAAAAGGCATCTTTCAGTTTGAATTTTTGGGTCACACAACGATCAGTCGGTGAGAAAATTTGGTCTGTACGAGCAGTTAAGGGATTATGGAGAGAACGAGGATTGTACTTCTTAGTTTGATATCTGTCCTTGCAGTTGTGCCTCACACAGGTAAATTTTCCAAAATTAAATTGACCATCTTAGTCTTTTCTTTTCATTTTATTAGGTTTCAATGTTGGATGTTTTACTTTCTCTCTTCGCGGTGATTTGAACTAATTCAACCGTGAAAAAAAGTGCGGAAATTTGAATGTAGGTAGTTGCTTTTTTATTCGCAAGATGGGCTATGAGAACCACTATTTGTTGACATGTCCCGCGTTGTCTCAAGAGAGCGGTTAATGTTAACTGATAATACAATGGATGACGTTTGCATTTCAAAGAATTTCTCTGCAGTCCAATGCTTAATTATGGATACATACACAAATCAAAAATTCTAGCTGTTACATAGAATGCAATGTAATGTTGAAACAATCAGATTGAAAAGATGATCAAATATATATTAATCTAAGCAAAACCAATAATTATCAAGACTTTCCGGGGAATATCCTTACATTCAATCCTTACAATTCAATCCTTAGATTCAGAAAATGTCTTTTACGACCGTTAGTAATTAGGAATTATAAATATGTTCATAAGTATGTGTTTTATTCAATATCTCTAGCACATGCACAGACCGTCAAGATCGCAGCGATTCCCGGACTACGGGTGGTAACCGGATCCTCGTTCAATTTGACCTGTACCGTAAGCAATCACAACTTCACGGCTGGGAATCAGATATACTGGAAATTCAACGGTGAAGCAGTAGTCGATACACAGAGCCATAAAATAGCAGATAAATTCAAAGACCGCTTTGGAATTCTTAATGGAAATAATGTTCAAATCCTTACTAGAACAGGTAAGAATCATCTGTTTTTTTTTTTTTTTTTTTTTTTTTGTTGTTTTTTTTTAAGTTGGATGCAAAGTCATGTATTATAATGTGCATTGAATTCATGACTCTACTCGACCGTGGTTTCATTTACGTTTTGTCATTGTTATCAGTGATGAATGAAGGCATTTTGACTTTAAAAGGCAGATTCCTGTTATCCTTTTTTTATCCATACCATTGCAAACAGAATTAGTGGGCTTATATAAAAATATTGTAGACAAGGAATCATATGACGTTTAAGTTTACCACAGAAAAATAAAGCAATAAAGAAACTAAAAGCATATATGACCTCTATACTTCAGAGGCAAATACAGAGGACGCAGGAACATATGAATGTGAATTAAAAGATCAAGACAATTCACTTGGTAGGGATACAATTTCCCTGCAAGTGGCAGGTAAGTTAGTGTGGGTTTGAGCTAAAATAGGCACGGTTGCTGTAAGGTGGCTCCTGAACAGTTTTCAGCGTGTGCATTAAGCATTGACACTTTCAGCATGCTATTAAAATAGGATACAAATGCTAATGGTAAAATTGCCTATGCTTTTGATGTCTTACTGCCATATGCCCTCTCATATTACATGTAGTTATTGGGTTTTCCCCCTTCCTTAAACTTAAATATATTTAAATTTTGTATGAACTCCATGTTAAGAAATATATCACCTTTTCTTGCGTCTTCGTTTTTGTTAATCAAACAACCAGTTTGTTCCTAGGTGACCGATTTACGCTTTATTTCTTGCAGATTCATTTTCTTCTAATGCCCCACCATCCACCACCAAACCAAGCACCACTTCAAAGACGTCAACGCCAACTCCTAAAACTGACCGCAACATATCAGCAGGTAGGTGTCTTTTCTTAGATACAGCTCTAACTAGACCTGCGCTAAGAAATGAGGGAAATGAATAAAATAATAGAAGAGAAAATTAGATTATGGCATGGATAAATATGGATAAATATAAGTATATGAATCGATTATTGCATTATTTTTCTTTTCTGAACTGTTGAGTCGCGCTGGGCAGGCTAAATATATGTAGGAAAATTCATACAACTGTCTAACTTCCAAAATGGAGTTAAAATTCGCCGTTGCAGAACTTGTATGAATATATCTTTGTATTTTTGTTTGCTAAAAGGATAGCCTCCATATGTAGCAATAAAAACACCGGCTTTTATTTTGATGCATTATACTAGGGGCTAAATATGATGAAATATAGTCTAAACTGAAGCGGTTCTAGTTAAAGAAGAAGTAAACGGGCTACGTGTAATTGCTGTACATTCTTATCAGCGCCCGTAAGTCAACACTGCAATTTGCTACGACACGACAGATAAATTGTTCAAATACTGATTTTATTTTCAATCATGAGATAGAAATGCAGCTGTCATACGTTGATTTGGCCGAAAGACAGGAAAATGGCGGTCTACCAAACGGAAGTGAAATTCTATAGTTGGAACTGAATCAGAAACCGTTTTTGTTTTCGAGATAATTAGTGTACTCTTAATCATCGACAGATTCATCGGTATTAATGAAATGAAACGAGAAGTGCACAAGAGATTTGTGAACGATAAAAAATTAAAATTGTTATCGAAAAGATATATTTTAAATAAGCAATCCTTTAACTATCTAGATATGCATTTATCTTGCTGTTGATAATCATTGTTAAGGTAAGGAGGTAAATAATATCTATCTACATCCTATTTCATAGGCCCCATTCCCAAAGGTCCCATTCAGGACAGGGGACTAACTAGTCCGAGGGTCAAATATGGCCAAACCACTTGAATACTCCCCCATGGGATATCTATTCAGTGTCTATTAGCGGATTAGACAGCAAGCTTTGTAGTTGGTCGCCATATTTGACCCTAGGACTAGTTAGTCCCCTATTCTAAATCGGGCCAAAGACACCATCGATCTAACTCTGCGGGGACTCTTGCTGAGTGCAATCAGACTAAATAAATGACATGCCTCCTCCTAGCGTTGAGCAGAATACTTCAAAGGTGGTGATTATACAAGAACGTTGGACACGAGAGTGGGCGTACGTGTTATTCACTTAAGCTGACTACACTCAGCAAGAGTCCCTGCAGAGTTGGATCCATCTACGTGGTGTCTTTGGGAATGATGGTCACTGATACAGAAAGATATTATGCTTTCATGTGTAATCTCTGTAAGCAGAAATTATTAATTAGTAATTTTATCTCGTGAGTTGCGACGTACATGTAGAAGTGTTTGTAAATTAAATTTTTGGTATTGGCTATTAAATTTTTTTAATATAACCTTTCTTTTTAGCCTCAAGTATCAAGAGCAATGGTCTTTGGTGCGCGCTTATGACATGGACTTGTTTTCTGATGTCACTCCGGAAATACATGTAATATTAGTTTATAGTTTTTTGCAATTTTATAGTGACAGTTCCTGGGTACACAGCTTGGACATAAAATGTTTTTTGTTATTCTTGTTTTAAAAAAATAATCAAGTTTGACAATCATGATTTCAACAACATGTCAGCATTTTTTTCTGACAGTTTTCTAGGGCTTTGTCCATTGCGCCATTTTAGATATTTAGTAATTTCAGCAATCTGATGATCAGCCCGACATTTAGTCATGCTCAATCTGTTTTGTATTTACATAAAAATATATTATTATGCAGTTTAATTACTGGACAAACCAGACAGTTATATTCTATCAGGTTTTTGCGATTTCCAACGTGTAACACTGAGTTAACCATTGAAATGTTCATAATTTTTAAGGGAAATAGTTACGACCAAATGGCATCACTAAACGATTGATGCTGTCCACGTATGCTGACTCCTTCTCTCCAAAACCAAATAAAAGTGAGGCAAGAACTTGTTGTTCACCCAGGCCGTAGCCAACAATTTCAAGAGGGGGTTCTTTTTCTGAAAAAGTGGACCTTTTCCCATAAAAACTTCATGTACCTAGATCAAATTTTACCCAGAGTGGACCTTTTCCCAGCAAAAGGGACGGTTCTTTCGAACCCCCCGAACCCCCCCCCCCCCCCCCCTGGCTACGGGCCNAGCTTTCGTAAAAGGCTTTGTGAAAATCACCTTACCAATGACGAGATCAGCAGTCACACTGAAATACTAAAAGATAAGGTAGTATAAAAAATGCCGACCATAATTAACAAATAAACAAAATAAATAAATAAATGAATATATAAATAAATACAAACAATGTGAAATGTTAACTGACCTTCATCTGGATCAAGAGGAACCGACGACGGAGACATAGCCTTTTTCCCACTAGGTTCACCTGAATTATTTAAACAGGATAAATACATGTTTTGGTGAAAATAATGATAATGTCTACTTCGCATCAAACTTGACACTTTATAAAACAATGAATAAGGTACTGTGCTTAAATCATACTATTCTGAAAGACACAAGCTAACGATAAAATAATTGAACTTGTCCATACCAGTACGGTCGCTGGCTTTGACTTCAGGACTTGCATTTGGCATCTGTGACTGCTCACGTGGCAAATCACGTGGGGGTGGCGTAATAGGCACTTCCGGTTGGGACACCCTCTGTCGTATGCTTTCTGTGATATTAAGAACAGCCTCGACCAAACTCTCTGCGCTGTGGAAATCGTCGCCGGTGGTCCTTAACCGCTGTTCGACGGCATTTTGAACGCTCAGACGTTCGAAACCAAGTCCCAGAACCAGCTGTACCAATTCCGTGTCCATTCTGGCTTTTATTTCCCTTGGCTCCACGTCATATGGTCTGGCAGCACGGCCTGTAGGACTCTTAAGGCAGATAACGAAATTGAATAATATTTAAAAGAAAAAAATAAAATAAAGGTAAGTTACTGGACGGACTCTATATGGTTTATTATGAAATGGTGAAAACTTGTCTTTAATTTCAATGAATCATATTATATCAAATAATCTAAAATCTTAAAATGTTTTCACCAAAACTCTTTGCACATATCTAACCAAACCATCTTTTCATTTCGTGCAGTTTTTTTTTATTTTACGGCAATACTTTTAGCTATTATTTTATCAGTCGGAGATTTTACTTAATCATACTTGGTACGTACTTGCGAACCAAACTCAGAGGCTTCCAAAGCAGATGCCAACCTTCCGTAATACGAGGATGAGCTGCTGCCGGTACTCTCGCGTGACCTCTGCTCCCGTGCGAGATTTGGAAATAGATCCGTCATACCGTCTGCCAAAGTTTCGTCGAAGCTCCTTTCATACAGCGGCACATTCCTGGGATCATCGCCATTGGCTTGACGGCAACTTGGGAAGCTTCGGCGATGTTTGTCCTGTGGATCGTTGCCTTTTTGCCACTGTTTTAAATGTCCTCCGCAACTGAAGCAGACTACTTCATCACCCTTTCCAGAATAATATAAACCAGCTCGCGCAAGTTTGAGCGACGAGGCTGGAGATGCTGGAGGCCAATTCCTAAAGCTGTTGATGCGATTGGCTTCGAAACGGTATTCCCCTTTCTGACCATCGGATGATTCGCCCTTGGCGGTATGATGACGACCTAGCTCGTATCCTGGCAGCACTTGTTTAATCGAGAAGAATGTGAATCTCTCTCGTAGTTCAAAGAAATGTCTCGGTAAGAGTTTCGGCTTCGTGGGAGTTACAGGAATTTGTTCAGTTTCCTTTGATGTAAATCGGTATTCTGGTGTTTCGTGGCCGCCGTTGATTTGCAGGTTTTTGAAAAATAATCTGGTAACTTTCTGTATGCTCATCCACCTTTTGTACAGATAATACGCGTGGGTTGCTTTACATATTATGAGTGTTACTACCAGCATGCTCAAACTTCTGAAACATGTTAAAGACAACATTAGTCTTATCGCCAACTCCAGAGTGTGTTCTCTTGTTCTTAGGAACCCGCGGCCGTCTGAATACCCTTTGTTCTCCAATTCAATTTCTTTTCCGTGAGTGCGCTGAGCGATGTTTAGCAAGTTGGTGCGTGTTGAAGTCGGGAAGTAGCCGGGAATTTCAACCCATATTATAAATGGGCAACAAAGACAGGTTCTCTCTTCGGTTCCAGTTTTCAATTTCCTGGAGGGCATTGTCTCTTGTATATTACCTAAAATATAAGATGAACATTAAAAATGTTTAAGACAGATGTATTAAAAGGGATTATCCTGAATACACAACGATTTCCCCATACTAACCAATGGTAAATGGATCAATTTTTTTTTTACATTCAAAGTTAGTTAGTTCAAAGTTACAGCGACATTAAGGTTGAAAAGTAAACTCTGAGCAAACAGACACTTTAAAACTTTCATGATATAAACACAGAATATGTCATATTCTTAAATGAAGAGCACTTCTTAATATCTATAGCTTTAAGCTTAATTATTTGTTAATTCATGTACGTGAGGACATGCAACGATTTAAACTGGTTATTTATACAGTTTATTAGCAAGTGACCTCACACTGACCCTTAACGTTGACTGGTGACATCAGAGACAATATTATTGACGTCATGAGCACGATTCGGAAGCACAGTGGCAGGGTAAAAATAAGACACATGATTCTGAAAAGACATTTGATATTAATTGATAAGACGGAATAGGCAACAACAATAACAACAACTACTGCTGCTACTACTACTACTGCTTCTTCTTCTACTACTACTACTACTACTACTACTATAAATTATTATTATTATTATTATTATTATTATTATTATTATTATTTGAAGAATAAACAAAGAGAGCAGGCCTCTGCGACGTGTACAATTGAAATACACACACTGGACAATACAAGTGTCACCCCTACTGAACCAATACTTCTGGGGGAGATAAATGACTGTGGAATGATATGCTCCTGGTAACATTTTATTAACGTCAAATTTCACAAAAAAAATGAGAACAAAATATACATTCTACCAAGATATGCAGTTTCAAGTCCAAAATTAGTACTTAGTGGCATAGCCACGTGACCTAATAATAGCTGCCAGTCTGCGAGGCAAGGATTCATATAATTGTCTGATGCGTTGAGGGCTTATGCTGGCCCAAGCATGAAACACTGAATCTAACAGAGTATGTCTGCTGGTTGGACGGGCATTTGTCAAAAGTTTTGATATATCATTCCACACATTTTCTATTATGTTTGCATCCGGACTCTGGGCAGGCCACATCATTCTGCGAATGCCCTGTCGGTCAAACCAATCATCAACTGCTCTGGGTCTTTGACAAGGAGCATTGTCATCCTGGTGAATAAATGGATAATTCCTGTCACTAAACATGTTAGTAATAGATGGTAGCAAGCCTGACTCCAAAACATCAATATATTTCTTTTGATTCATGTTTCCATGAACTATTACCAATTCACCCACGCCATGGATGCTGATGCAGCAACACACCATGATGAATATGCTGCTCCGGGTTCGAAAATTCAGTACATGTGGTTCAAATGCTATACCAGCAGTTCGCCAACATCGGACACGTCTGTCATCAGAGATCAGACTAAAGCGACACTCACAAAAAACTATATATGACCAATTGTCATGGACTGTCCAGTTCCAGATCCTGTTGGCCTTAGTTCACTCTACGTTGCCTGTTTTGTAACGATATAAGAGGTTTCTGTCTCGCTACCCTGCTGTACACTCTCTGAGCATGTAACCGGTGCCTAGCAGTTTTCACAGACAGATTCTTATGTGTGAAATTGTTCCAGAGTGTTGTCAACTGACAAGCAATGTCGAACCTTGACAACCTGGACATCAAAATCAGTCGTCGGTCTTCACGGTCGGTAGTTTTTCCTAACCACCCACCAGAGGCAATTTGTCTCTTGATCCAGTGTTTCTATACCGAGACCTGGCCCTCTGCACGGTTCTGACTGAATAATTCAACTGTATTGATATTTTGACATTGCTTATAGTCCGCCTCTTCAGGTTAATAACTTGACCTCTATAATCGTTAGATAATTGCCTGTATCTTGCCATATTGGAGGAAGACGGGAATAACATTTGCTGTACATGTACAAGACCAACAATACAATTCCATGGTACAGCGGTTTTATACTCATTAGTCAAATTATAAGTAGACCAGGCATTATAACTACTCAAGATCTGCCTACTTTGATTACTCTGATTTAGGGGGTGACACTTCTATTGTCCAGTGTGTGTAGTTTAATTAAGAGGTAATTGCTACTTCTTGTATAGCTTCAACGAAGGGCGCATTTCTAGGATAACCCGTATCACCCCCAAAATTTAATAATTTCTTCCTTGGCCAATTTGTGGTCTATACTGAAAAAAATATTAGAACCCTTCTATGACTTTGCGCATAACTCTGGGAAGACAAACAAACAAACTGTCAGAACCAAAATCATAACCTCCTTGTCGAAAGAAGAATAATAAAAACTATAAGAAACAATAATAATATTCCTCAGGGAGAAGAGATTGCCCCAGTATGTATTCACCGTGCGTCTAGCTGTATATCGCACTATCCCGCACTATATTTCACATAATTGTACAAACCAATTACCTTTTATTGCAAATAAACATTATTATAAAGGATACTGTAAGGGTTTCTTATCATCCAGATGCCGAAAATGAGGTCTTTCCTGCATCTAATTATTTAATAATTCAACTACCTTAATGGTGATTTAAAACAATAAAAAATCTCCTCGAAAACATTAAATATTGGCGTTTATATTTCTCATTTCTATCTTGAGTAAAGGGAACTCAAACCTTTTATCGTCACATTAACGCCCTAANTTATTATTATTATTATTAATTTAGTATGAAAACTTTAAACTGTGATATAAATTCATAATGGTTCATTTTTTTAAAACCCAGCCTTGCGTCTGAGTGTATAGAAAGTAGTACTGTTACCGTTCTTGGCCTTAACTTAGTTCGCGAGATATCTTTATCTCATATTCTGTTTATTGGTTACATTTCCCACATCTTATCAGTTTGAACTTGTTAGTTTAATTTGACGTTATGACTGGGTGATATGCAAGTACTTAAAATCTATGTCAATTTTTTGTAATTCTAAACCTTTCCCTGTATATAACACACTGCATGCTGTGGCAAAAGTGAGCCATAAAAAAGGATCATTTTAAATAAATGATTGTTTGTTTTAGAACCGTGTGTGTTGTTAAAATCTTTAAATCATATTTTACACTAAACCTAATACCAATCGTATAAAATTGTTGTCGTGCTTTTTTTCTTCTTTCGCTTGTTACAATCTTTTCCTATTTTGGAGGTCGTGGGGGCGGGGGATAGATTCCCCATTCTCTCGAGGGAGGGGTCAATTATTGGCCCACCGTGTCCACTGGATTTATACTAAATTCAGGTAGTCCGATTATCTTCTGACTGGTCTTCCTTAACCTAATGGCCGACAAACTTAGAAGAAACGTACATGTATACGATCTTGAAAGCTCTTGATATTCGTAAGAAAAATGTTACATATATATGGTTTTGCCTATCAAGGGTTTACGAGATATATTGTCACAGTGATATTATGGGCCTACATGGCTGTTAAGCATGCACGTCATTTCATATAATTGAATTTACCAAGTCAATAGTGAGGTTAATATTGACATTCTCTTGCCGTCAATATCTTACCTGATGGGTTCCAGGCACAACAAAAATTCTCGTTTAGTTTCAGACAAGGTGTTACGGAGCTTACGATTGCAGTAGATGTGACCGACCGCAGCAATGGAACTTGATTTCAGCAAGGACTTGATTGCAAGTCCTTGGTTTCAGCAAGCTTTTTTTCTGTAATGCGCCATAGCAACAAAAACAACAACAACCACAATAATGTCTTCTGTACAATGGGATATAGCTACTGCAGTGCGTTGCTTCCAGTTAAACTTGGCTGGTATCAGTATAAATGCGCTGACTACGCAATGTAGCGGAGATGCAGCGAGGATCGAGTGTTTTTAACTGAAAATTTAACCCTTTCAATGTTATAAAATTTTATTAGATGTAAAATGATGTAAAATGATACATGTAAGTGGAGGATCCTTCCTTCGACAAAAGAGTAAGTTGTCAATGGCTCTGTCATGAAATATTGTCAGAATTCCAACTCACGACTATTATTATTATTATAGGATTGCACATTATTATTCGACACCCGGTCTTATTATCAAATTATTTTGCCGCCCAAACGGGTTGAGATGCAAGTGCACTGTTATGAATATCATCCACTGCATAATTTTAATAATTATTTCATAAATGTCTTTATCAGCTTTTTCTACTTTCGTTCTAGAGTTTATTTTAAGGTACATGTAGGTCTATTTGTTAAATAGACGCGTAGCTTTTTTCGGCCTTGCAACCGTGTATTACAAATTTTCCACCGTCCTGAAAATAAATAAATAAATAAATAAATAAATAAATAAATAGGTAAATTAATTAAGCATTTCATTGATGAAGGAAGAACCTGATTAAATCTAGTGATTTCATTTTAATACTCTCTGCTTTTTACAGATGATATAATACATCGGAATCTTTTGTATTTAAGATTTAAGTCTATGTATGGAGGAGCCACATTCATTTCACATTCAACACTCTGTAAAAAGGCTTTTATTTCTCTCTCAGAATTTCATGATAATGCCTTTGATATGGATCAAAAATCGTCGCCCTATAATCCATCTATATACCTGACACCAGAAATGGTGATAAAAGGCGAAACAGATACATTACATCATTATATGTAAAATTATTATAAACATTAGAATAAAATCAGACAAAACGTGTCAAAAGAAGCGATGGAATCAGTGAATATTCTTTTGTTGAGCATCTATCTGATTTGTAATAATAATAATAATAATAATAATAATAATAAAGTGCACAATAGTCGGTCATACTTGGAACAGCTCATATATATTGCGAATGTGCTGTCTAAGCTGCAGGAAGGAGCCAAGGCACAACCAAAAAGAATGACCCAGAAACACATATAAGAACTGGAGGGATTCCCATCATCATCATAATAATAATAATAATAATAATAATAAAGTACAATACCTTTATTAATCCTGGCAAAGACCTCCAGAAACTTTAGTTCGGGATCATCTCCGTCCCCCTGGCGCCTTTAACAAACCTCATCACTAACACTCCTCCTATGAGATATACCACCGCACATATCACACTGTAATGTAGATATCAATTTATAATAATAATAATAATAATAATAATAATAATAATAATAATAATATGTATGTACATATTAAAAAAATCTAAAATCGGAGTGGTTTCCGGATACAATGAACCTCCCCTCTCCCCCCTTTTTTTCGACAAAATATATACATTTTAATGTTATATAATCTATTTCTACCTTTTCAATCTTTCTATTTCTCTAATGCTATGACGCATACTTACATAATTATTAAAATACTTCCAGCACTGAGTCCGCCCGCTGACCCACCTGCTACGCATGCGTACTTCGTTTTCAGAGTCATATACTAAAATTCAAAAAAGAAAAAAAATGAATGTTCCAACTATTGTTCGATAAATTGATTAATTGTATAAAAAAAGCCTAAAATCCGCAACCTTGAACTATCAATAAGCCTACAGGTGCATCTTTAAAACACTGATATCGCCGTTAACTTCACAATTTAAGTAGCTTTAAATATGGCGTCTTGCAATAATACAAATTCATAGGTAGAGAGTGTGTGTGCGTGTTGTTGCAAATCAAAAAGGCTCCAAGTGGTAACCAATTAGATCGTCGTAAATGCAAACCAAAATATTCTACAATGAGAGAGAGAGAGAGAGAGAACTAGACAGAGAAAGACAGAACGTACGTATTGTGCCTGACCCACTTCACCCTGTGCCGTTAGGTCACCTTCATTTGGACCGCAGTCTATGCTAACGTACGAGTCTCTGCAAGGAAATGATTTAGGCCCTTGACATGTATTAATAATAATAATAATAAGAAGAAGAAGAAGAAGAAGGATTTCAATATTGTTTTTCCCGAGTACCATCCAAGTTTCCATCCCTATATACAGAGGATCCCCATTATATAGCGCTCATTCCCGTGTAGTAATACTTCATTTTAATTAAATGAGCAAATTGAGTGCAACGTTTTACCGATAAAAATAAGGCCGTTAATATAAATAAATAAATAAATAAATAAATAAATAAATAAATATGCACAAATAAATAAATACATAAATAAATACATAAAATAATTAAGGGGAAAACGAAAATGAAACTGGATTGCTGAAGAGAGCAATTTCAAACATCTATATACCTTTGAATCCCAAACGTGTCTACAGCCTGATAATGGATGGTCAATCCGATGGTGGGATCGTTAATGAACTCAGCACTCTCCTGTATTCCGATAGGATAGGTGTCCCCTCCCCGACTCTGACATGCCTGGAATCATGGTGAAATCTCGCTTAGAGCAACGGCTGGTCCAGGGGGTTCCATCGGGATCGTGCCCTTTTTTGGTTTCCGAAATGTCCACTCCCACCCACCCCTCAAAACCAAGCAACTTTCCCATACCTTTACTCTTCGCAATTCGGTTAAAGTGAAACCATTAAATTTCTGCCAACCTCTTCCCTTCCCTCCCTCCCTTAGCGAAACTCTGGATCCGCCAGTTAACTTGGAGGCGGGGCTTATGATCAATAAATGCGAACTACGACATTTTCATTGAAATTTCTTTCCTTTTCGGAAGGAAAATGTCGCTAAAAACACGCAAGTGCTGTGGTAACAACCAGTTGATTAACAGATTTGCGGATCAAATATGGCCGACCCACTTGCAAGCTTACCGCATGATCCCCTTACAATCACTCAATAGATTCCCGGCTTGAATTATACTTACAACTGGATCAGCCAAATTTGATCCACGGATCTGTTAGTCCGAGGATCAACTCTGGTTGTTAATGCAGACTTAGACGCTTAAAATGTTTTTTTTACCACCTTCTTATAAGAGACAATGGAAAAAAACATTCATTTTTTTAATCAATAACACTTTCTCAGTTTATGCTTACACTCAATACATCGTTTTCGTAGTCAAAAACGAAGACAAAATCCGTTTACCGAGACAGAGGAGCAACCCGCGCCCTCGTTGAATGGACTGCATGGGTTCCATGAGAACTGATCCGTGGCCCCTGGTTCAGTGTCTGCAATATCTTTGAATCTGTAAATAGATAAAATCATTTAAAGGATTCCATCTCCAAAAGTTAAGGAGCAAGCCAACATGAAGTACATCTTACACTGTTTTTTTTTATTATTTGAAACGGTGACAGCTAACCGACACAACGGTTGCGTAGTGTAGAGCTAGGACGTCGGAAAAGCGGAAGATCTGCAGCTATGGTCGAGCCCACACATTCTAAATATCTTTTGTTTTTGTATAATTAGCATAGGTCGTACGTTAATCCTCGGTATAGAGGACCCGAATTTATCTTTAATATTGTTCGTTAGTAATTCTACTTCAAATATAATAACAAAATTATTCGAACCGCCAAATGCTGTTTGTCTTCTCTAGTTTCCGTCCGTTCAAAAGAATGAAAAACTATTATCTCGCTTTCACCGCGACTTAAAAAAGGAATTTTGCCCCCCCCCCTCCCTCGCTGAAAGGAGCGCGCACTTAAGACTAAAGCTGAACTTTTTTGATATTCCATAATGTCTGACCGGCTAATACGTCTAGAAATGAACATGCTATTCCATTTTTTGCGAGTGTTATAAATTAATCCTAAAAGCCCCAAAGCAACTACTTTCAAATTCATATTCCTTGCCATTAAAACATGATTTGAACACTTAGACTGGAACATTTTTTCCTACCAATGGTGAGCTGGCCAGTCAATAGGAACAGTCAAATTGAAGCATCTTCTTTTGTTAAATTGGCTTTTTCTAGTAATCATAGTAAAGCTAAGAGATCGTTAGTGAGTACTGCTCCGAAAACAAGCCAGTCCTTACAAAAAGGCCAAGGTCAAATAAGCTTTATTACTAGCAATAGAGGCCTTACTATTGGGCCACAAGGCATAAATGCTACTGCAAGACAAAGAGTTATGTTATAGTGAGAAATGACGACAGCAGTTTGGAGCTTTCGAACGTTTATTCACCGACTCCCGCTTCATACAACTTCACAAATATTTATACTCAATTTCTCCGTACTGATCACGCATTTACTTGTTTTCTTTTCCATTGTCTTTGCGTGATTACAAAATATTTTCCATTCTCATGTTGCAAGTCACTATGCAACATTTCCTTATTAGGTAATCCATTAGAGACTTGTTTTCAATTAAAGATATCTAAAATATTATTTGGATTACTCATACTTGGATCTTGTCCAAAACTCAGTTATCATGTGATAAATAGATGATCAAAATTAAAATATGTTATGAAATTAACCAATCACATTAACTGTTATTGACTTTGACCTTTTCCATCTTTTTCTGACACTAAAAACATGTTCTACACTTGTTGACTCTTGGAGAAACTTAACTTACACTCAATAACTCTTTGTCTTTTTACTCTTTTGATTCCGCTTTAATTGCTATCTGTAATTAGTGAAAGTGTAAGTAATTTNGTTATGTTTTTTCTTGACCACTTGCAAAAACTTGGTACATTTAGTGTGCATAATGGTCTTCAATATATATTATTTTAGATATTTTAACCAAAAAACTACACGCATTAATTACACTCGCAATTTTGGAAATGGTGTGAAACGATAGTGAGGGACACCATAAAAACTATGAGTAAACACTCACACTCATGCGTGCCCTAAATGTTACGGCACGTGGCCAACTGGGCCAGCTCACCATACTCAATTACTGCTCAGGCAATAAGGCCTCATTCGCAACAGTGGACTTACTAGTCCTAGGGTCGAATATCTCACACACACACAAACACAAACACACACACACTCTCTCTCTCTCTCTCTCTCTCTCTCTCTTTCTCCTTTTCATTTACTTTTGAACCAATTAACAGTCAAAGTCTCTCTCTCTGTCTCGACGCATCCCTACAGTACAATGTACAATATTTCAAAACATACCGTGGCGTATTGTCCGTATTAGCCAGCGGTGTAAGATCGATAATGCCGCCACTACTTTCACAACTGCATGCTGTCTTCTTGGTACAGTCTATGTTCAGGATCCCTCCCGCCGCCGCCACCAGTGTCAAAACTGCCATCAACCGTATACTTATTCTTTCATAAAAAGTCTTCATGTTTAATCCATAAATAGTCCCTTCAATTTCTGATACCCTGTAACATGTACATAATGAACTTAAGTCAGTGCGTTGACACAGATTGACACAGTATTCTCTTTTTATCAGTAGCGAGTTCTGCTGTAAATTTGTAATATGCGTCCCGTGTAGTAATGTCCTTAATGATAAGATAATGATTTGCAATAGCCCAGTTGAAGTGTATGAAATGAACGACATCAACTTTGAAATGGAAGTTCAGAGTATTTTTATCGGTTTTAAGGATTGTGATTACATGCAAAAAAAGAAACTGGAAGAAGAGAGATACAGTAGTAAAGGGGCAACGATATTCAGCGTTTACAGTAATTTGGTGGAAATGTAATCACAGCCCAATTAGGTCAAGGGGCACATTGTGATGTCAGCTGATATTGAGAGGGGGCATTAACAAACAGTGTCAACTAATGCAGACAATACTAGCGTGATAGGGACCATTCCCAGACCCTATCGTACTAACTGTGGATCGATCTGTCTCCAAGGGGTTCCTCGATAAACTGCTTTCAGCTTAACCGGCTTATATGTCTGGCACGCCTACTGAAGCTGCTAGGGGGTAATTAACTACCGTTTAGCAGCTTCAGTAGGCGTGCCAGACATCCAAGCCGCTCAAGCTAAAAGCAATTTAGCGAGAAATCCCTCCGAGATGGATCAATCCTGTTAGATCAATCTAGGTATGGGAACCCAGTCATAGCTTGCTGTGCGTGTGGCATCATCCACTGCATCGAATTGCAGGCACTTTGTGATAGCGCATATAATTATGTAAAGGTTTAATGAAATGATTTCTAAAACATAGCCAAGGTACATTCTAATCATGCAATGCTAAAAACGAGGTGAAATCACTAATTAATTGATATTCATAAATAAGAATATATCCTTTAGCTTTTAAATACGAATAATGTGTATTTCTTCAATATGGATGAAATAACAAAACAGAAAAGATCACATTTTTAAATGATAGCTTTATTCCTGGTTAAATGAACATGACTGTAAAAATAAAACATATGTATAGAGTGTGTCATACACATTACACATCACAAAATCATCTGGTTTCGATGTAATTTATCCACCGTTGAGATATGGAGGCCGTGTAGGAGCTATTTGAACCTATTTTATACTATTCCATATCTGATTATTACTCTATATCAGTACAGTGGCCAGGAGGGTCATGACGTTATATCCATGTAAAATAAAAAAGGTAAAAAAAAATTACTGGCCAGTACAGAAATTTGCATTAGTCAAAAAAATTATCTGTGGATACCCAGTGAAAAAATAAATCGCTGTTGCTCTGCAGAGGGTATAGTATCTAATGGCTTATTTTCAAGTGGTGTCTGAGGGCCATCTTCCAATGCTCCTGGTGTTAAAGGTGTGATACTCTACAATTGTGGTCCACTTGGAAAGGTTGCCCTTTTAAAACTGGCAGAGATTTTGCACCACTGCACACAATACACTGTAATTGAAATAAGAACAACAATAAATAAATAAATAAAATGTAATAAGGTTCGTTTTTAAATCTGCTTAACTGGTGCTCAACTTATAAAAGATGTTATCAAAAATATGAATCTTTGGCGTGGTGGTCTCTATTCTTGGGTCGCGTAATACATAGTCAAGAATACCAGCGTTATTTTGTGGCGTATACTTACATAATTATGAAACTGCTTGTGTTGGGATGCCGGCTCTGGCATGGGATATCTAGTCAGTGTCTATTAGCGGATTAGACAGCAAGTTTTGTAGTTGGTCGCCATATTTGACCCTGGGACTAGTTAGTCCCCTATTCTGAACGGGGCAAAGACACCATCGATCTAACTCTGAGGGGACTCTTGCTGAGTGCCATCAGACTAAATAAATGACATGCCTCCTCCTAGCGTTGAGCAGAATACTTCAAAGGTGGTGATTATACGAGAACGTTGGGCACGAGAGTGGGCGTACGTGTTATTCACTTAAGCTGACTACACTCAGCAAGAGTCCCTGCAGAGTTGGATCCATCTACGTGGTGTCTTTGGGAATGATGGTCACTGATACAGAAAGATATTATGCTTTCATGTGTAATCTCTGTAAGCAGAAATTATTAATTAGTAATTTCATCTCGTCAGTTCTGACGTACATGTAAAACTGTTTGTAAATTAAATTTTTGCCATTGGCTATTAAATTTTTTAAATATAACCTTTCTTTTTAGCCTCAAGTATCAAGAGCAATGGTCTTTGGTGCGCGCTTATGACATGGACTTGTTTTCTGATGTCACTCCGGAAATACATGTAATATTAGTTTATAGTTTTTTTGCAATTTTATAGTGACAGTTCCTGGGTACACAGCTTGGACATAAAATGTTTTTTGTTATTCTTGTTTTAAAAAAATAATCAAGTTTGACAATCATGATTTCAACAACATGTCAGCATTTTTTTCTGACAGTTTTCTAGCGCTTTGTCCATTGCGCCATTTTAGATATTTAGTAATTTCAGCAAGCTGATGGTCAGCCCGACATTTAGTCATCTCAATCTGTTTGGTATTTACATAAAAATATATAATTATGCAGTTTAATTATTGGACGAACCAGACAGTTACATTTTATCAGGCTGTTGTGATTTCCAACGTGTAACGTTGAGTTAACAATTGAAATGTTCATAATTTTTTATGTGAAATAGAGAAGACTAAATGGCATCACTAAGCGGAAAAAAAAAACAAAACTTAAAGTGAGGCAGGGACTTATTGTTCACCTATAGTTTAATCTACTTGTAAACCTAGGGCGTATTCCGAACCAGTTGATCCAAGGACTAACTAGTCAAATATGGTGCGAAACACTTGTAAGCGTGTCGAGATTTAATTTCTCTGACCCTGCTGGGACGGCTCGCATGGGAGCCGGGAATCCATTGTTAAGTGCACACATATTTGATCCACGGACTATTTCGTCCTCGGATGAACGGGTTCTGAATGCGCTTCTAGATTGCATTGAACTAAATATTTTGCCTAGACGTAGAACAGCTAACGTAGAATTTCATGAACAGAATGTCTAAGGTAGGCAATATTAGGATAGTATAAGGAATGCATATATACACACACTGGAGAATAGAAGTGTCACCCCCTGAATCAGAGTAATCAAAGTTATTAACCTGAAGAGGCGGAATATAAGCAACGTCAGAATATCGATACAGTTGAATTGTTAAGTCAGAAGCGTTTCTTTTTGTGAAATTTGATGTTAATAAAATGACACCAGGAGCATATCATTCCACAGTCATTTATCTCCCCCAAAGTATTGGTTCAGTAGGGGTGACACTTCTATTGTCCAGTGTGTGTACATGTTTAACCGGCAACACTCCTTCACCCTCCCCCCCCCCCTCAACTTTGAACCCCCACCAAACTCTTCTGTTTATTCAGTGGACTTCACCAAGGCTGCCTTTGAAACGACCGTTATGAGTAATGAACTTTATCAGGGCAACACCGAATAAGTAAACTCTAAGAGTGAAGCTTATTTATTTGAAGGCCACATGAAATGACGCAGGTGACCCCTATTAGACCGGCTACTAAAATGAGCGGTAATTAGATATTGGTAATTTGTATATTTTGTGAATTTTGAAATCGTTTACCAATAGTAAAGCATAGTTTAAGTGACTACATGTCTTTTTCAATTATTATTATTATTATTATTATTATTATTATTATTATTATTATTAATTTAGTATGAAAACTTTAAACTGTGATATAAATTCATAACGGTTCATTTTTTTAAAACCCAGCCTTGCGTCTGAGTGTATAGAAAGTAGTACTGTTACCGTTCTTGGCCTTAACTTAGTTCGCGAGATATCTTTATCTCATATTCTGTTTATTGGTTACATTTCCCACATCTTATCAGTTTGAACTTGTTAGTTTAATTTGACGTTATGACTGGGTGATATGCAAAGCTAGTACTTAAAATCTATGTCAATTTTTTGTAATTCTAAACCTTTCCCTGTATATTACACACTGCATGCTGTGGCAAAAGGGAGCCAAAAAAAAAAAAAGGATCATTTTAAATAAATGATTGTTTGTTTTAGAACCGTGTGTGTTGTTAAAATCTTTAAATCATATTTTACACTAAAGCTAATACCAATTGTATAAAATTGTTGCCGTGCTTTTTTTCTTCTTTCGCTTGTTCCAATATTTTCCAATTTTGGAGGTCGTGGGGGCGGGGGATAGATTCCCCATTCTCTCGAGGGAGGGGTCAATTATCGGTGCACTGTGTCCACTGGGTTTATACTAATTTCAGGTAGTCCGATTATCTTCTGACTGGTCTTCTCAAACCTAATGGCCGATAAACCTTGAAGAAAAGTACATGTATACGATCTTCAAAGCTCTTGATATTCGTAAGAAAAATGTTACATATATATGGTTTTGCCTATCAAGGGTTTACGAGATATATTGTCACAGTGATATTATGGGGCCTACATGGAGTTAAGCATGCACGTCATTTCATATAATTGAATTTACCAAGTCAATAGTGAGGTTAATATTGACATTCTCTTGCCGTCAATATCTTACCTGATGGGTTCCAGGCACAACAAAAATTCTCGTTTAGTTTCAGACAAGGTGTTACGGAGCTTACGATTGCAGTAGATGTGACCGATCGCAGCAATGGAACTTGATTTCAGCAAGGACTTGATTACAAGTCCTTGGTTTGAGCAGGCTTTTTTTTTCTGTAATGCACCATAGCAACAAAAACAACAACAACCACAAAAATGTCTTCTGTACAATGGGATATAGCTACTGCAGTACGTTCCTTCCTGTTAAACTTGGCTGGTATCAGTATAAATGCGTAGACTGCGCCATGTAGCGGAGATGCAGCGAGGATCGCATGTTTTTAACTGAAAGATCCACCCTTTCAGTGTTATAAAACTTTATTTGGAATGATGTAAAATGATACATGTAAGTGGAGGATCCTTTCTGTGACAATGGAGTGAATTGTTAATGGTTCTGCCATGAAATAATAATAATAATAGGCTTCTTATATGGCGCCTTATATGCTACCTCGAGGCCCTTACAATAATGGATAATATAACTAAAATTATTAAAATGACTACAATATCTAAATTTAAACATAAATTGGAAATCATTTAAAATTAACACTATTAAAAACACAATCTTATTGAAATATTGTCAGAATTCCAACTCACTATTATTAGTATAGGGCTGCCATTATTTTTTCCACACCTGGTCTTTTTATTTTTGGCGGCTGGATGGGTGAAATTGTTGCACGCGACGTCAAGGGCAACCACCCTATACCGTATCCTGTTGCCGTTTTAGACGGAATCCTCTGGTTTCTTACAATGAAGTCCTTTTTGATAAGTAGACATTTGGAACTATTCAATGCTTCAATTGCGTTAAAAATCCACAGTCGTTGCAGAGGTCCTTTGATTTTCTGTTGATAAAGCACTACCAAAGACATTTCGTAAACGATTTGAGAGTTTCCGGTAGGCCTACTTTATAAAGATCAAGTAGAATACGTGAGATTATAAATCTTCACGGTTACAGAAACATTATAATATCATCTCATTCCTTAGTTCACGGTCATTAATATCATCAACAGCATAATCTTTATGATTGTTTCATAAATGTTTTATAAACTTTTTCTACTTTCGTTCTAGAGTTTATATTAAGGTACATGTAGGTCTATTCGTTAAATAGACGCGTAGCTTTTTTCGGCCTTGCAACCGTGTATTACAAATTTTCCACCGTCCTGAAAAAAAAAACATAAATAGATTAAATAAATAAATAAATAAATAAATAATTGATCAATGTAGGAAAAACCTGGTTAAATCTAGTGATTTCATTTTTAATACGTCCTGCGTTTTACAGATGATATAATACACCGGGACCTTTTGTGTTTAAGATTTTTTAAAAGTCTACACACACTGGACAATAGAAGTGTCACCCCCTGAATCAGAGTAATCAAAGTTATTAACCTGAAGAGGCGGAATATAAGCAACGTCAGAATATCGATACAGTTGAATTGTTCAGTCAGAAACGTCTCTTATGTGAAAATTGATGTTAATAAAATGATACCAGGAGCATATCATTCCACAGTCATTTATCTCCCCCAAAGTATTGATTCAGTAGGGGTGACACTTCTATTGTCCAGTGTGTGTATGTATGGAGGAGCCACACTCAGTTCACTTTCATCACTCTGTAAAATGTCTTTTATTTCTCTCTCAGACTTTCATGATAATGCCTATGATATGGATCAGAAATAGTCGCCCGATAATTTAACTATTCATCAGACACCAGAAAATGGTGGAAAAAAGGCGAAATAGATACATTACATTACATCACTATATATGAAATAATTATAACCATTAGGGCGAAAAATAAAATCTGACAAAACGTGCCAAAAGATGCGATGAAATTGAATATTTTTTGTTGAGCATCTATCTGATTTGTAATAATAATAATAAAGTGCACAATAGTCGGTCATACTTGGAACAGCTCATATATATTGCGAAAAGTGCTGTCTAAGCTGCAGGAAGGAGCCAAGACACAACCAAAAAGAGGACCCAGAAACACATCTAAGAACTGGAGGGATTCCCTTCATCATCATCATCATCATCATCATCATAATAATAATAATAATAATAATAAAGTACAATACCTTTATTAATCCTGGCAAAGACTTCCAGAAACTTTCGTTCGGGATCATCTCCGTCCCCCTGGCGCCTTTGACAAACCTCATCACTAACACTCCCCCTATGAGATATACCACCACCGCACATATCACACTGCAATATAGATATCTTATAATAATAATAATAATAATAATAATAATAAATAATAATAATAATACTAATAATAATACTAATAATAATAATAATAATAATAATAATAATAATAATAATTATTATTATTATTATTATTATTATTATTATTATATAAATATTAAAAAATCTAAAATCTGAGCTGTTTCCGGATACAATGGACCCCCCTCTCCCCCCTTTTTTTTCGACAAAATATATACATTTTAATGTTATATAATATATTTCTACATTATCAATTTTTCTATTTTCCTAATGCTATGACGCATACTTACATGATTATTAAAATACTTCCAGCACTGAGTCCGCCCGCTGACCCACCTGCTACGCATGCGTACTTCGTTTTCAGAGTCATATACTAAAATTCAAAAAAGAAAAAAAAATGAATGTTCCAACTATTGTTAGATAAATTGATTAATTGTCTAAAAAAGCCTAAAATCCGCAACCTTGAACTATCAATAAGCCTACAAGTGCATCTTTAAAACACTGATATCGCCGTTAACTTCACAATTTAAGTAGCTTTAAATATGGCGTCTTGCAATAATACAAATTCATAGATAGAGAGTGTGTGTGTGCGTGTTGTTGCAAATCA